ATGGATAGATGGATTGATTGACTGATAGGTTGATGAGTGGATGAGTGGATTGATGGATTTTATAACTTGAATAAATGAATTAATGTTTAATCATAAGATCTGTCACTCACCACTACAAGAGGTTTCTTTCCTTTTTGTCACATTCCCTATCCATCAACCTGGCAGCTCCTCTCTGGGAAGTTAAGCATCTGTTCAACTGTTTTGGTAAATTTCTAACGTTACGCAGAGCTCTCCTCACACCCGTGTCCTCTAGTTACAATTTTTCCATTTCCATCCGCGAGCAGTACACCCTCCTCTCTTTTTGCATTTTTTTTCTGCTGAACATATAGCTGATATCTTTCAATCAGGAGCTCTCCTGTCCTTGCAATCACAGTGTCATTGTTCACCTCATGTTGTGGAAAGCTCCTTTGACAGAGCGCCGTGATGAATCACCTGGCTACGACTTTTGGAAAAGAAGCCTTTAGATCCCATCACCCTCTTTTTTTTCACAGAAAAAACAACAACATTCGATTCATTTCTCCTGCTCTTTCATGTCTTTTGCTTTCTTTTTTCGTTTCGTTCAGTCTTTTAAAAGTTATTCACAGCAAACCCTCCTCTTTTCTTCTCGCTGGGCTTCACAAAGCAAATATCTGCCGGGTTTAGCTCATAAAGGAAGCGCTTTTACTTGCTTAAGGTGCTGACGGCAAGACACACTCTGTTATGTTGGAGGCTTAGAAAAACAAAACTTTGCAGGGTAAGTCTCAGCCGCCAAATTAAGTGGCAGAGGTTTCTAATTCTTCTCTGCTCAATCTGTGGAAAAACCAATGCCCGCGCTCTTTTGTCTGATAAGCTGCAGAAATGCAGAGAAACTTGTGCCTCTTTTCTAATTTGTCATGTAATTCTGTCATTTTTTCCCCTCCTCTTCTCCACTTCTTATATCAACTCCCAAAAAGTGAAAAGAGGAACAAATATAAACTTGCAGGAGGAGCATGTGAGCACATGATTGGGTTCAGGCTTTTTCAAAAGACTGATCACATCACAGAAGGCAGTTGGAGATGTGCAAACAACACACCTTAAATCAGGCAAATTTATTTAGAGCACCTGTGATACACGAGAATGCAGATTCAGACCCCTACTGATTTAAAAACACAATTACACCCATGCAACATAATAATTTGGACCTTTTCCCAGTAAGATGTGGCTGCTCCTCATTTATGAACCCAGATGTGTTTTCTGTCAGCTCTGCCTGGTGCTACAGAGATCTCTGAGTGAGTGGATTGACGTTTTTGGTCGGTCCTCTAACGGTTCAAACTTTAACCAAACGCTGCAAACCTCAACAACACACAGATTGTGTTATTTACGCTTCAAAAAGCTCAGATTCCTGACCAGCAGCGATCTGCCAAACACCTCAGCGCATGATTTTTTTATACACTGCTGAGCAATTAATACCTTATTGCAGCAATATACAGTGCAGGGTAATTATAATGTACTTTTGATGAATGTGCAGAACCCAATCTAAGACTCACTATTAAAGAAATGTTGTTTTGTGTTAAAGCCCCTTTAGAAGTCCCTTTTGTCCCGTTTCCTGCAGCCTGAAATGTGTTTAAACACATGTCCAAGCAGCTGTTGTCCTGTCCTGATTATGTTTTAGAGCCTCTTTTCATATTTGCATTGAATGAAGCGATGTGTACAATCAAGACACGGCAGCTTGAGCAATGCGAAGTTCGGAGACCTGGACAAACCCTTTGCTGTCTGCAGCGGGGAGGCCCGACACCTGGGCAAACACTGCAGCCCGATGATCTGTCATCAGCTATGGAAAGCAGCAACAACCTGGTCGCTTTTGTCAGCGCACAAAAGAAAATGCCTCAAATTAATTTAGCACTCGGCATTCATCTTCTGTTGAGGCTTAAGACCTCATCTAAGCTTGCGAAACGCCACAGAGCTCACAGGGCTTCATATAAGAATTTTGGCTCTTAGATGAAGCCAAACGCTGTTAAGACGTGACATGTTGACTGTCTAGTGAAGTATGTGTATCCTGTTAATTCAGACAGTTGGTAATACCAGGGATCTAGCAAGCCTTCAGATGTACTTCTGTGTGTACGCCCCTCCTCTGATCTCTTTCACTCAGCCTTTCCTCCTCAATACCAGACTTCTTGAGGACACACAAGATAATTGTCCTTCAGCCTTTTTGCTCTCACAGAATATCTTCAAACAAAACATTACCTATGCCAGACCGTGTGCCACAGTGATGACCTCTGAGGAGCTTGATGATGACGTGTTTGTGGTATTTTTTTCAAGGGTTTAATGTGATGAATGAAATATTCATGTAGTCAGGAATGCAAATGAATGAAACTCGGTGATTTGTGTAAACCCGTTTTCAAAATTTGCTATATTTCTTAAATCATTTGAATATCAACTAACTAAAAAGGGGTTTCGAGTTTTTCAAATTGCTCATAATCTGATGTTTGTTTTGAAAGTAACATAGTTGACCACCACCAGTTATTTCTGTTCTAAAACACATTTTCAGAAAGAACAAATCTAAAACCAAAGGCTGTATGGTTTGCATGTATAGTCAAAAGTATAATTATGTTGTATCGTGATGGTTCACCAGAAAACCAACGTAAATGTCACATTTACATTTTTTTAACTACAGTATTTATTTTAAATTTAGAATTTTTTTTTCTGCCGTTTAGTTGAGTTTATACGCCTGAACTGTTTGGGTATAGGCGTTTAGGAAACCTTCAGACTTCTAAACTGGTTGGATAAGATAGGGAAAATTCTCTAAAGCTGACTTCCCACTGGAGGCATCAGCGACACGGAACGTAACTGGAACATCGCTGCTTCAAAGAGAATCCTCCTATGAGTTGATCCAAACCGGCCGCGGCGCAGACTTTATTGGGTGCGTCCCAGAAGCGGCTCACCGTGCAGCGCCGCAAACGATAGGATTGGGTTTTATTTTTGCTGCGAGGCATTTCTGGGACATGTCACTTTCTGTAGTTAACATAGGGCTACACAGGAAATCACACACAGTTTCAGCGTAAAACATCAGGCAATTTTCAAAGTAAAAGACTATTGCGCGATGCAATTTCATATCTATGTAGATTACATCAATACAAGTGACCGAATGGCTTATTTTCTACCTGAATCTTTCTAGAAGTGTAACAGTGTGTTTTTCATGGCTTTGATCCTGACCGTGGAGAGGAGCAACATTATATCTGACATCAAACAGTGATGTCAGATATAATGTCTTTTTTTTTTTGGTTTAATGGCGGATGGCATAAACAAACCGTGCCCTTTGAAGTCTCAAGGGATTTTGCAATTCTCGCAAGTCCTGTGAGGAGAACAATGGAGGAGGGACCGACTCCCCTGGTGTGGATTGGCGCACAGAGAATCACGCGAGTAAACACTTCTGCTGCTGTTCCACACCGCTGATGCCTCCAGTGTGAAGGAGGCGTAATACTTGATTTTAGAGGCGTGGTGTAATTTGACTTTAGTTAGGGTTAGGGTTAGTTCAGTCACTAAAACGAATGGAACTCAATGACAGGTCTTCACAGGTGTGGCAATGCATGAGTGTGTGGGTGCGTGCGTGTGCCTGTGTGTGTGTGTGTGTGTGTGTGTGTGTGTGTGTGTGTGTGTGTGTGTGTGTGTGTGTGTGTGTGTGTGTGTGTGTGTGTGTGTGTGTGTGTGTGTGTGTGTGTGTGTGTGTGTGTGTGTGGGTGGGTGGGTGGGTGGGTGTGTGTGTGTGTGTGTGTGTGAAATCAATCAGTGTGAACACTTGGTGACTGGATGTAAAAGCTGTATTTTGTGTCAGATCTGCAGCCCTGCAGGAATATGTTTATTGCAGATGAGAGTGCTACAGATTGTTACAACCATAGCACAAAAGAAATAACATGAGTGCCATTTCCATGGTAACAACATGTGGCTTGACTGCAATCAGAGCTACGTCGCTACAAAACCATTCAGACAGTCAAATGATGAGAGACCTTGAGACAGACCGAGAGCCGGTGTGACGGGACCTTTTCTTCTCAGCACTGCATCAGGCATGTTGCTCAGACTTGATCACACAGCAGCAAAACTCATCTTAAGCTCTTTAAACGAGCCAATAATCCACCAATACATGCATTGTGACATGAATCTGCTAGGCATGCTACTGCATTGCATTCAGGTCACCTAAATCCTTGTTAGTGTTATCCATCCCACATCCATGTAATCATTCTTAACAATACTTGCTTTCAGATCAAGCACTTAAGGGGGGGTTAGTGTATCATCTGGATTTACTTGAATGGCAGGGGAATTTGGCAAACACATCAACACGCAATATGTGGATAAAAACACTTTAAACGTGACAAATTTCTTTTTTTTTCCTGCATCATGACGTCAGACAGTTTTGCATTTGAGTTTAACATCAACAATTTTCACAAGAAGCAAGTTGATTCATAAAAAGTATACTATGTGGAATTTAACTGATGTTATATCAAACACATGAAGCACACTTTTATCCCCAGTTAAGAGTTTAATCTCACAAGTGTCATGTGAACATGTTCACCAAACATTTCTAACAGCTGTTTTTGAGTTTATGAAATCTACAGTAAATAAACTTCTGGATTAAATCTAGAACCAAATGCTTGCAATAATCGTAAGAGCTTAAACCGTGCATGAGAGCATGTCAAACAGCGATGTTCTCCTTCTTCGTGAGATCTTAACAAATAACAAAGATGATGGAAACAGTTTAACAGCTGACTTCTTTTCACCGACAAAAGCATGTGCACATTTAAAACAAATATCAATGAAACTGTACTTGATAATAATTAGATGTTTTTGTGACACAATTGACATGCTAACGGCTAGTTTGAGTGGTTCCAATGTCAAAAGTGGGTTGCTACCACCTTCAAAACATGCACTGTGTTTGAATGGGTGACTCACTGTTAGTGTTGTGAAGCGCCTTGGGGGGTTGTAGAACCCTAGATGGCGCTATATCAAATACAGGCTGCTTACCATTCTAATCTAAAAGGAAATCAGAACACTTTATACAAATGTTATTTTATCTTGCGATGCTCCTCCGGACAAAGACCAGTGATTCTCTTAGGCAGCATTCCCCCATCTGACCTGATGAACTGACTAAGCAGCAACACATCAGTGTAGGTGTACTTGTGCTGCAGGTTCCATCTGTAGATGGGACACTTTGCTGTGGGATTTGGAGGTTGAGGTGCAGCTGGTAAGTCTATGATTTGTCCCTTGATAGATGTGGTGTTGCCTTCTCTTTTCTCCACAACTTGACGAAGTCCTCTGCTCGGGATGGTTAAAGCGGAAAGCTGGGGAACATTAACCTTCATAAACGAATTAGTGTTTGTGACCCCAGCACCTAGTTTTAAGCCTGTAAATGAGGCCCAAACAGACCTCAGCACACTGCGGGCAGCCATGTTTTTCCTTGACCTTTCTTCTCACTTTACTCCTCCTTGAACCGTCACCTTATCGTGGTGGAGGAGTTTGAGTGCCCTAATGATCCTAGGAGCTATGTTGTCTGGGGCACTTAGTGCCCCTGGTAGGGTCTCCCATGACAAATTGGTCTTAGGTGAAGGGTGAGAAAAAGAACGGTTCGAAGGATCTTTCATGGCGGTTAAAACGAAGAGTCTGAGTACCCGGCCCGGAGGGTTACCGGGGTCCCACCCTGGAGCCAGGCCTGGGGTTGGGGCCCGTGAGCGAGCGCCTGGTGGCCGGGCTTTCGCCCATGGGGCCCGGCCGGGCCCAGCCCGAACCGGATACATGGGCTCGTCCAACTGTGGACCCACCACCCGCAGGAGGAACATGAAGGGTCCGGTGCAATGCGAATCGGGTGGCAGACCAAGGCGGGAGCCTTGGCGGTCTAATCCCCGGACAAGAAAACTAGTTTTTGGGACATGGAACGTCACCTCGCTGGCGGGGAAGGAGCCGGAGCTTGTGGCAGAGGTTGAGCGGTACCGGCTAGATATAGTCGGACTCACCTCGACACATTGCATTGGCTCTGGAACCCGAGACCTGGAGAGGGGTTGGACACTCTACTTTGCTGGAGTTGCTCCGGGTGAGAGGCAGAGGGCTGGTGTTGGCTTTTTGTTAGCCCCGAGACTCTCTGCCTGTGTGTTGGGGTTTACCCCGGGGGACAAGAGGGTAGCTTCCTTGCGCCTTCGGGTCGGGGAACGGGTCCTGACTGTTGTTTGTGCTTAAGGGCCAAATATCAGTTCAGAGTACCCACCCTTTTTGGAGTCCCTGGGACGAGTGCTAGATAGTGCTCCATCAGGGGACTCCATTGTCCTGCTGGGGGACTTCAATGCTCACGTGGGCAATGACGGCTTGACCTGGAGGGGTGTGATTGGGAGGAACGGCCCACCTAATCTGAACTCGAGCGGTGTTTTGTTATTGGACTTCTGTGCAAGCCACAGTTTGGCCATAACGAACACCATGTTCGAACATAAGGATGCCCACCGGTACACTTGGTACCAGGGCAGCCTAGGTCACAGGTCGATGATAGATTTTGTAGTCGTATCATCTGACCTGCGGCCATATGTTTTGGACACCCGAGTGAAGAGAGGGGCGGAGCTGTCAACTGATCACCACCTGGTGGTGAGTTGGATCAGATGGCAAGGGAACATGCCGCGTAGACCTGGCAGACCCAAACGCATAGTGAGGGTCTGCTGGGAACGCCTAGCAGAAGAACCTGTCAAGACGGTCTTCAACTCCCACCTCCGGCAGAGCTTTGACCACGTCCCGAGAGCAGTGGGGGACATTGAGTCCGAGTGGGCCTTGTTCCACTTTGCGATTATCGAGGCGGCTGTTGCTAGCTGTGGTCGTAAGGTGGCCGGTGCCAGTCGTGGTGGCAACCCCCGTACCCGCTGGTGGACACCAGAGGTTCGGGGAGCCATCAGGCTGAAGAAGGAGGCCTACAGGGCGTGGCTGGTCTGTGGGTCTCCGGAGGCAGCAGACAGGTACCGGATAGCCAAGCGGGGTGCAGCAGTGGCAGTTGCCAAGGCAAAATCTCGGGCATGGGAGGAGTTTGGTGAGGCCATGGAGAAAGACTATCGATCGGCTCCAAAGAGGTTCTGGCAAACTGTCCGGCGCCTCAGGAGAGGAAGGCAGCAACTCGCTCACACTGTTTACAGTGGGGATGGGGAGCTGCTGACGTCAACTGAGGCTATAGTCGGACGGTGGAAGGAATACTTTGAGGAGCTCCTCAATCCCACCAATGTGCATTCCGAGGAGGAACCAGAGCTGGGAGGCCTGGGGATGGACTGTCCGATCTCGGGGGCAGAAGTTGCTGAGGTAGTCAAACAACTACACAGCGGCGGAGCCCCGGGGGCGGATGAGGTTCGTCCTGGGTATCTCAAGGCTATGGATGTTGTAGGGCTGTCATGGTTGACACGTCTCTACAACATTGCGTGGTCATCGGGGGCAGTTCCTAGGGAGTGGCAGACCGGGGTGGTGGTCCCCATCTTTAAGAAGGGTGACCTGAGGGTGTGTTCCAACTATAGGGGGATCACACTCCTCAGCCTCCCTGGAAAGGTCTACTCCAAGGTACTGGAGAGGAGGGTCCGATCGATAGTTGAATCTCAGATAGAGGAGGAGCAATGTGGTTTTCGTCCTGGCCGTGGAACTGTGGACCAGCTCTATACCCTTGCAAGGGTGATGGAGGGGGCATGGGAGTTTGCCCAACCAATCCACATGTGCTTTGTGGATTTGGAGAAGGCTTATGACCGTGTCCCCAGGGGCACCCTGTGGGGGACGCTCCAGGAGTATGGGGTGGGTGGCTTTCTGTTAAGGGCCATTCAGTCCCTTTACCAGAGGAGCGTGAGTTTGGTCCGCATAGCCGGTAGTAAGTCGGACCTGTTCCCAGTGAGGGTTGGACTCCGCCAGGGCTGCCCTTTGTCACCGGTTCTGTTCATCACTTTTATGGACAGAATTTCTAGACGCAGCCGTGGTGTGGAGTGTGTCGAGTTTGGTGGCAGGAGAATCTCGTCTCTGCTTTTTGTGGATGATGTGGTCCTCCTAGCTTCATCCAGCTCTGACCTTCAGCTCTTGCTGGGTAGGTTCTCGGCCGAATGTGAAGCGGCTGGGATGAGGATCAGCACCTCCAAATCTGAGACCATGGTTCTCGACCGGAAAAGGGTGGCTTGCCACCTCCGGGTCGGGGGAGAGGTCCTACCTCAAGTGGAGGAGTTTCAGTATCTCGGGGTCTTGTTCACGAGTGAGGGTAGGAGGGATCGGGAGATCGACAGGCGGATTGGTTCGGCGTCTGCAGTGATGCGGACGCTGAGCCGATCTGTCGTGGGGAAGAGGGAGCTGAGCCAGAAAGCCAGGCTCTCGATTTACCGGTCGATCTACGTCCCAATCCTCACCTATGGTCATGAGCTTTGGGTAATGACCGAAAGAACAAGATCGCGGATACAAGCGGCCGAAATGAGTTTCCTCCGTAGGGTGGCCGGGCTCAGCCTTAGAGATAGGGTGAGGAGCTCGGACATTCGGGAGGGACTCGGAGTAGAACCGCTGCTCCTCCGGATCGAAAGGAGCCAGTTGAGGTGGTTTGGGCATCTGGTCAGGATGCCTCCTGGACGCCTCCCCGGGGAGGTGTTTCGGGCATGTCCTGCCGGCAGAAGGCCCCCGGGTCGACCCAGGACACGTTGGAGAGGTTACATCTCCAATCTGGTCCGGGAACGCCTTGGGGTCCTGCCGGAGGAGCTGGTGGACAAGGCCGGGGAGAGGACGGCCTGGAGCTCCCTAGTTGGGATGCTGCCCCCGCGACCCGGACCCGGATAAGCGGATGAAGACGACGACGACGACAAATGTTATTTTATCAAGCTTCAGTAGCTCTCAGCACAGCATAAAAGGTGAGGAACACTCGTTTAATCAGTGGTCTCTAGTAGGAATGAATGCCTTGTAAGTCATTCTTGAGAAGAAAGAACACTGGTGCACCATGTCAAGGAACTAGAAGTGAGTCACATCACAGCTGAGCTTCAGACGGCAGGATTTGAAGTCCTATTTCTTGATATTTGGACATCTCGCCTCAGACTGGATAGCAGCATTATGACTCTACCACTGACTTGCAACGTTGATGTTTTATCTCCACATATAACAAAAGTTTGAAAAGTTCCGCCATGTGGCGAAGTTGCTAATGCTTACCGTTAGCTTCTACCAGCTGAGACGTTCTCTGCTGTTTACTGGATGTTAAACCAACAACAGCTTTTCCCGTCGCGGGCCAAGATGGGTGAGTCCATGAATGTTCAGTGACGGTGTGACGTAGATCTGTCAGGATTTTCAAATCCTAGAGTTTCATCGTCCATTTTCTGTCAGAAGCTAATGCAGGAGAAAGGTGTAGGAGACTGTTTTCATGTTGAACCTGTATGAAAAACTCACAGTGACTGATTATAAATTGTTTTTAAAATGTTTATTTAGTTTTCCACACCTATAAATGATTTTTCCATCACACGGGTTATGATGATCTTGCAGGAAGTACTGTTGTTGTCATTTCAACTAACAAAATAAGTAGTTTGTGTTACAATCTGCGAAATGGTTATAGTCAATTAATTGTACCTGTTGTAGATGACACGTTTTTGCTTTTTTTGAGACACAAAGATTATTTGTAACCAGATTTATTAGCTAAAATTTGAGCAGGGCCACAACTTCAGTCAGTTTTATAAACTATCAGTGTCAAATCCGTTACTTCTGCAGAAGCATTATCAAAACCCTGCTAGAAGAGCCCCCAAGCTGCAGATGACAAGCTATGGTTAAAGAAAGAAAGAAAATGATCTTCTTTATAGCGTCTCTCAAGATAAAAATCACAAGGTACGTCACAAATGCAAAACAAAAAAATTAATGTATAAAAAATTTCCAAAAATGATTAAGAATTTGTTTAAAATGAGAACAATAATTGTGATAAAAATGTAAGAAAAGGGAGAGAGAAAATGAAAAGGAAAGAGGGAAAACAGTGGACATGATGCTAGCTACTGATCCCAAATATTGCGCTCAAAATCGATGTTACAACTCTATGAAAACAGCCGTACAATGTGAAACCAGCAGTGACAGATGGGTTTATAAAATTATGTGGAAAAAAAAAGTCAGATTAGAGTCCTGCCCCACACTAGCTGTTAGCTTGTCAATCTGGAAAAAAAATGTTACCTTTTTTCTTAATACTGAGGTTGTTAATAGGTATGGAACACTGAAAACCCAGATTTATCTATACTTTCTGATTATAATCAGTCACACAGAGTTTTTCATGCAGGCTGAACATGAAAATAGTCTCCTACATCTATCTCCTGCATTAGTTTCTGATAGAAAATAGACGTTGAAACTCTAGGATTTGAAAATCCTGACAGACCTCCGTCACACTGTCACTTAACATTCATGGACTCACTCACTTTGACTCACGACGGGGAAGGCTGTTGTTGGTTTAGCGTCCAGGAAACAGCAG